GATTGGATCAGGCTTCTCAAAATTTAGTCGTTCAGTGATTTTCTCACAATCTCATATTATCCGATTTATTGTTAATATACTATTTTCTGCTGGAGTTTAAGTACGTCTCTTTTACAAATACATTTTATATTGCTATTAAAAATAGAAGACAGATACAGTGTCCCCCACGTAGACTAGAACCTTAAACATAAGCACAGTGAGAGAAAGCAATCATAGTTGAGTCAGATTCTGTCGGTTGCGAGATGGTAGCTCTTATGGGATGAGTGCTCTGTCCTGAGCCTGCTTCCTACAGAGTTCAATCCCCATGGTAACTCTGTGACAGGGGGACTCTTATTATCCCCATTTTGCAGATGAAGAAACTGAGTCACAAAGAGGTTGATTCACTTGCCCCAAAGTCAGTGGGTGCCTTAGCTGGGACTCTAACCCAAGCGTGCTGTGCTGAGCTGCCCATTGGTGTGAGCCAGCTCTCTCTTTGTTACAAAGGGAGATTAGCTTGTATTGGAGGGTGTTAAAGACACACTCGCTTTCAAGGAGACTTTCTAGTGGATGTAGTCGGAAGCATAGAAGAGAATCAAAAGAGGACCATTCACTCACCAAGCGATTCAGTACCCTCTGCTCCTTAACTCGTCCTGTGTATCTGCTGTCTCCAACGTCCAGTTGACTGAAAAAAGTTCTATTCCACAATTGCCTCGCTTTGTACCCAAACCCTTCCTTATCTTACTCATTCTCTATGGTGAACAGTACATTTTGCTCTAGTTATTTTTCTTAAACTAAATTTTAGAAGGAAGGCACAAAACGGAATTTTTTTTTCATATGGGGTGCTCCCTTCCATTAGGAACACAAGGGGAGTCTGAGAATGGCTGCAATCCACTGAGTTCCCATAATGTCACCATAATGACGTGGAGTATCTTTTCATGGCAGTTAACAAATCTTGGAGGTCAGTGTGGCTCCTGGGCAACTGTCATTCACATCACTCAACATCTCTGTCTTTCATCCTGAGTTCCTGGGGGAGTCAGGGTGGTGGCTGGTGACAGCAGGTAGGTGGAGAGGGTGGGGTGTGGGAGGCAGGCAGGGCTGGAGACGGTCACCTCAGGACTGTCTCTGGAGGAGTGTGGCGCCGAGTCGGACTGCAAGGCTGACTCATAGCGGGCCCGGGGCCAGAGTCAGGAAGAGTTGATCCAAACATTTGTGCAAACTGCTTCCCTTATGTGCGATAAAGGGCCCCCATAACTGTGACACATTCCCCATTTTCTAAGAGAGACAGTGTTGAGTGCGGCTGGCAGGTGCGATGGCCTGGAACTTTCTGCCAGAAGTATAATCATTCACACCTCCCAGCCCTCACACCCTGAGTGGCTTCTCCTGGCATTTGAAGAAGGGGGTCAGGTAGCTGTGGGCTGAAGTCATGGTACAGGGGTGGCACGTGCTTACTTTTGCCTTAATGGTCAGACCAAGAACAGTCACGGGGCCCATGTTGTGACTAGGCACTGGGCTATGTGCTCAATATGCACAGTCACCTTTAATCCTCTCAACAAGTCTACAGGGTTGGTGCCATGATTATGTCTATGCTATAGATGAGAAAAATTGAGCCTTGGAGTAGTGAAGTAACTAGTGAGTGGTAAAGTCAGGATTTGAAACCAGGGAGTCTGGCTTCCGAGCCAAAGGTATTAAGCCCTGTGATATGTGAAAGGAAGGGTTTATTGGACCTATCTGTGCAGCTCAGGGATGGAAGGAGGAAGAACATCAGGTGGAACAGGAACCAGGGCAGATCTGGGACTATTCCTTTAGACCACTGCTATTGTGTGACTCAGCTCTAACCAGCCTTCAGCAGTTGATGATCTATCAATAGCTGCTTTTCTGCTGTGTGGTTGGGAGGGCAGATGATTATAGAATGTGCTGTTTTATTGCTCTCTGCTCTAGACTCAGCTCTCAAGTTGGAGGTATAAGGACTCTGTGCTGTGTGTACTTGGGTAAATAATTTAACCTCTCTGGTCTTAGTTTTCTTATCTGTAAAACAGGGGCAAAAATAGGAATGTTATGGGAGAGTAAATGGATAAATTTTGCCAAGTGTTTAGAACAGTGTTGGACACTGAGCAAGCACCATAGAGTGACTGTCACTAAAGGAGAGGCAGCTGGTCAGACCCTGACAGCTATGGATCCCAAACACTCCCTCGGGGTCCCATCTCTCCCCTTAGATGAAGGAATGTGACCACTTTGTCTACATGGTCTTCTAGTGAACCTTGCTAGATGAAGTGTGGTCCATGGACCAGCACCAGCATCACCCATGAGCTTGTTAGAAATACAGAATGTCAGGCCTCCCGAATCAGATTCTGTGCTACTGAGATCCCCAACTGATTTGCAGAGACAGTCAAGTTTGAGGAGCACAGCTTTAGAGCCATTAAAAGCAAAGAAAAAGCAAAGAAAATAAATCTAGAATCTCCTTCTGTTTGTTGGAGATTCAGTCCAAAACATGCACTTTTGGTTTCTTAAGCTAAAACCTTCAGCATAATAATAGTTTATATGTCAGTGGCATTTCATAATTTGACTAAAGGGTCTTCATAACCAGCCTTTGCTTGCTCTGTAGTACCATCTTGTGAGATATACAGAGCAGCCAATGTTCTTTCCATTTTCCAGATGTGAAAACGTAAGCTCAAAGCCTTAAGTGATTTTCCAGAGTTACCTGGCTACGAATGTCAGAGCCCAGATCTTCTGATATCCTGATTCAAGGCTCACTGCGGTTTCCACACTGTTCATCAATGATGATTCTTTCTCCATCTTGGCTACCTACGCACATCCTGTTACCAAGTCCCATGACTTTGTTCCATCAAGATGACTTGGATTCAGCTTATTGTTATAATTTCCCTGGTTCTAGACTCAGCTAAGCACTTGTGATGATGATGATAATGACTGATGATGATGATGATGATGATGATAATGATAGTTACTGCATATTGAGATTTATTCTGCTAAGATATTTCCTTGTATTGCTCAACTCATCTAATCCTCCCAACCATCCTGAGATAGGCACCATTATTATCACTGTCTTATCACAGATGAAGAAACCGGGACTCCAAGTGAGAATGTTGTCCAAGATTGAACGAGAGCAAGCAGTGGAGCTGGGATTTGAATGTGGCATGCTGGTCATGCCTCAGTTTCTGCACTAGCTTCTGAGCCAGTCTGCCCATCATGGAGGAATCCTCAAGTCTTTGTAGCGTGGGCTCTGTCTTCCTTCCCCTTCCCCTTCCTTCCCCAGGAAGCATTCTCTCGAATAGCGCGTTCCAGTGAAACTCTCTTCTTTTTGCATTTCGCAGTGCTCAGAAATATCCATCATACTTTATTGTAAATTTACTTTATTGTAAATTTACTTACTCATTTACTTTTGTGTGGTTCTTGTGAGAGTATAAACTCCTTGGAGGCCATATCTTCTTGGTCACAGTTGTTGTCCCGGCACAGTGACCAGCATAGAGGAGGTACTCAGTAAATGTTTATTGAATGAACATTGCTCATTGAATGAGTTTGGTTTCTTCACCTAGGCTGTGAACCTATGAGGAGAGTGTCTTTTGTATCCCTACAGCACACAAAACGTTCTGGAACTGTGTGGATCATTAATATTTATTGATACAAAGCCATGTGTTCCCTCCGTTATTCATTCACTCAACGAGCATTCATTGAGGGCTGACACAGCCATTGGTACTTACTCCTCTGGGGTTCTTATCTTTGTTGAGGACAAGGTGAGGTGAGGCCTTTACCCTTACAATCACCTCACTTATCACCACTAGAATCCGGGTAGAGATTCCCGGGCAAGGAAGGCCTGTGGTAAGGAGATATTCTACCCTAGTTGATATCTTGGACTGAGCTCGAGGTCTCATGTGATCAGTGGCTCCACTGGCCACAGCCTGAGTCTGGGCTCATATGCCAGGCAGGGAACTGTAGAAGCCAGAGCCTGTCTCCTTCCCAGCCCCTTGGCAGAAACAAATGCTGATGAACTATAGTAGGAATTTCTGCCTTTGAAACATGAGCCAACTGAGTGGCTGCTTCAGGTCAGCTAAGAAAAATGTCATCCCAGGCTCCTGTGGTACACCCAAGAGTTGGCGCCAGAGTAGGAGCTGGGCAGATCTTCCTAGGAGGGCTGGGAGCTGCCAGAGATAAGAGCTGAGCTCAGGTGAAAGCTTTCCAAATGGGGATGCTTAGGCTTGAGAGTGTGCGACTAACTCTTAATCCGTAAGCATGGTCTCACAGTCCACCCCTTGGCATGTCTTCTAGTTGCTGAGAGGCCACAACCTACTCAAAAGAATCTCCCCATTTATGCAATTTGGGTGAGTGGGGCCCCCTTTTCTGTTCCATGGGGCAAGAAGATCCTTCTGGTTGATTAGTTGTAATGGAGCTGCCCTCTGGTTGGTTCTGTCTCACAGTCCAGTACTGGCAGGGCTAGTTCCACCCACCCCCCGCCACCCGCCACCTACCACCCGCCACCCACCCTCACCCCCACCCCCACCCTTTGTAAGAGTCCTCTCCTTGAGTCCTGCAATTCTTATCTTCTCCAGATTAAACTCACCTGAATTCCCTTGGAGGTATAAGTAGTTCTACCATGAAGGTCTCAGAAGAGTGCCTTCCAGCAGTATAGGGAGAACGAGGGGTAGGGGCTGTGACTATGAGGAGGGAGAAGAATCTCCTAGTGTAGGCTTTCGGGAGACGTCCCACCAGATGCTTCAACTCCTGCTTCTCAATATTTTTAGTACCCCCAAGTCCCCCTCAGATCCTCACCCCCCCGCCGCTCCCTTGGGAGACACCCCTCCCCACAGAAGGTCTGAGCCCTAATAATCAGAACCTTCCTGCAAATGACAGCCGGCTGCGGCTCAGGCAGGAAGTGGGGGCGTGTAAGGCATCAAAGTGACTTGTGAGGCAAGATGATTTATTGGAATATTAATTTGTTTTTGAGCTTCCTCAGTTCTCTTCTTCCTCCCCATTTTAAGCACGCATCTTGGCCCTTTTGGGCTTCTTACCTCAGGGATTCCTGTCGACAGAAGCAGCCTGCAGCCTGCAGCCCACAGCTCGTCTGCATCTTCAGAAGAGATACTATTAGGTGTCCTTGGGAGAGGAGAAAGGACAGGCGATGAGCAAGTCTCCTCTGGAACAAAAGGGAAGAGAGCTCTGGGGCAGGGGCAGCCTGGGTGGTGAGGAGGGGACGCATCTCCTAGGTACATTCCCAAAGAGCGGTGCTTTCTGCTCTGTGTGGCAGTCCTGTGGCAGCTCCCTAAGCAGATACGGAGACCTTGCGGGGATGGCTGCTTGGTGCGCCTGGGCAGGCAGGACCTGAGACGAGGGGCCTGGGTCACGTGGAGTTCTGTGCCCCACGCAGGGCATGGGGAGTAAGTAGAGATGTCATGCTTTAGGGTCACTATAGGGGTGGTTTCCATGTTAGGCTGGAGAATACACATCCTTTTCCTGTTTCTGGAGCATCACATCAATGTACTTGTTCTTATTCATGCCTGGGAGGGGATAGGAACCCTCCAATGAAGACTTTATCCCTCCCTTTCCAGTCTGGCAGATTGAGGGCTCAGAGTAGGGAACAAACTGATTCTAAAAATAAAGAAGACGATATTCCTATCAAGCTTGCATTGAAGGCCCGCAACTTGCGCTTGCCTTCTTGATGCCAGGGCACAGACTCATCTTTTCCTTTGACAATATTTTCTTTACATCTTGCACCCAGCCTCTGTTCTTTGGCATTTCCATTTATTCATTCATTTCATAAATATTAATTGAGGAGGCTGCTCTTTGTTAGGTACCAGGTTAAGTGTGGAGGATACAATAATGTACAAAACCAGCCTCTGCCCCCATGGACTTCACGGTCTCCCTAGGAGACATGTTTATCATGTAATTCTACACATATTTAATATGCACACATTTACCTGGATAGAGGCTTACAGAGAAATAGATGCTGCTGTAAGGCTGAGCTGATGTAGTCTGGAGTGGGGTTGGAAGTAAAGAGGGTGTCAGGAAAAACAGGAAGTCATGTTCAAGTTGAGCTTTCAAGACTAGATGAGGCGTGTGTGTGTGTGTGTACGTGCTTGTGCAAGTGTGAACATGCATGCGTGCATCTGTGTACGTGAACGTGCACGTATGTAGGTATTTCAATAAGAGGGAAGAGCATTCTAGAAGGTCCTGAGTGGTGGGAGAAGGAACCCAGTGCCTTTGAGGAACTGAAAGAAACTTGTGTGGCTGCCAGAGGTGAGGCCAGAAAGGCAGCGAGGAGCTAGGTCACCTAAGGCCTCAGAGATCAGGTTGGGCAGTTTGGCCTTTGTCTCGAGTAACGGGAGGCCATTGAAGGTTTTTAAGCTTGAAGGTAACAGGATCTTATTCACATTTTGAAAAGATGCCTCTGACTATTGTGCTCAGCAAGGATGATAAGAAGGCAAGAACCAAAGTGGGGAGACCAGGACTGTGTCAGGCAGTAGATCTGACTGGAATCGTTGGGGAAGGAAGATGTTCGAAACATGAGTCAGTGAAAAACAAAACCAAAAGAATAAAAGAATACGCATAGATATGTATATACATTCACACTGTAGAAGGTTGTACGGGCATAACTGTTTTCCAGCCCTTTGCTATTACCGACTTCATTATAGAATAGAAAACATCCTGGACTGGGGACCCACAAGCTCGGGCCACTGCTCTAGTTACTGACTTTGGGCTTTTCTGTGCCTCAGTTTTCTCACCTATAAAATGAGGGCATGGGGTCAGATGCACTCTAGACATGAATTCCTTCATGGATTCTTGTAACTCTGGGCAGAAAGAAGGTACAAAGTAAGGGAGGCAGCATACATTATGCAGGCAAGTTGTATAACCCCAGCTCTATTTCGACATTGCAGAGTTAGGGTGACATTCTAGAAGAACAGCAGCAGGACGGCAGAGAGTGAGAACATCTCACAGGGCAGCCTGACAGTAGGAGGAGTGGGCAGCTGTCTCTGTGCTGAGATTTATCGCCTGCCTGGACCAAAATAGCCCCATCCTCTGGCCTGCTCCAGGAAGCTCCTTCCTGGTAAACATGAAATCCACTTACCCAGGACTGGAGCTTGATCTACATCAGGCTATTCCCCTCCAGGATACCATGAGCCCAGACAAAGTAACTATACTGCTGGAAATAAAAGAAGGGGACCTGGGGAGGGAAGACTCAAGGCCTAGCCAGTTTTGAAAGGAAGAGCCTCTGCTTCTTATGACTGGCCTGACTGGGGGAGGTGTAAAGAGCAGAGTGGGCTGCTGTTCATATAAGGCTGTACCGTGGAACACAAGTTTGCAGGATGAAAATAGGTGGTCTTCGAAATGGGGATTCCATTTTGAAGTCAACAAACTGGGGAAACATCAGCTTAACCAAAGTGGAGCGGGCTTTTCTACCATAGGACTTGTAGAGCTTTATTAAGCTAACCTCATGAATCCCTGAGGAGGAGGGAAAAAAGCACCCAGTATATCTAGCTTTTTAAAAAGACAACTTTCCAAGAGCAGTCTTCTCAAATCACACTATAGGAACAATAGACAAGGCTCTAGGTCTGATTGTGGGGAAGGGGGCCTGGGTCTGACTTCTACCTGAGCACCCCACACCTGCTACATTGATAGGTACACGGCAGGTACATGATGATTATTGAACGGAAAACTTCCAAACTAATTCTGCCTGTTTTAGGATGTGACTGGGGATACAGCTGGATTTTTAAATTCCCATATGTTATGGGCTGAATGTTTGTGTCTCTCCCAAATTCATATGTTGGAATCCCAATGTAATAGTATTAGGAGGTGGCTGGGGGTCTTAGAGAGAGATGTTTCCGTAGAGTGGAAAGTTGGAAGCCTGGCTAAAGAGGCTGACAAAGATGATGCATGGGGAGGGATTGAAGGTAGCAAGTAGAGACAACTCTTTTTCGAGGAAGATTGCTCTAAGAAAGACAGAAATGGAGGCGGTCGCCGGAGGGGCTGTGGGTGCCAAGGTGATAGGAGATGCTGCAGCGAGGCTGTAGGCCTAGGGAACGCTCCAGTGAAGAAAGACTGGCTCTTCGCATAGGAGAGTGTGGGAACAGAGAAGTCCACAGTTCCTGAGTAGGAGAGAAGCAGTGGGGTTCCCTGAACATATGGAGGCATCAGCCTTTGTTGGGTCATCGGTGGGGATTTGAGATTTGTGGCCCCAAAGCCTTGTCTATGTCTTGTTTTCAAGCCACAACGAACAGCTGGACATGGCAGAAAGTTGGATAGACGTGAATTCAGGGCTGGGGTTTTGCCAGGAGGCTCCGGCAGAGTGGGAGCACAGCGAGGAGATGCGGGTGTCTACAGGGAGCAACAACGGTGATCGCTGGGAGTGTAAGAAAGAAGGGAGGAGCCTGAGGTTTTGAACCAGGTGTTACCCCATATGAATGCAGCTCAGAGTTGTGCAGACGCCCTGAGGAGTCTCTGTGCCCCTGACTTTCCTCTGGCCCTTCTTACCCTAACTGCCCGCTTCCCCACCCCAAGTGCAGCAGTGTGCCTCAGTGACGGCAGGGACACTTGGTGCTGGTAAAAGAGGCAGACCATGGGCTCTATCGTCAGCTGAAACCAAACCTTTGGGGATGGGCCCAGTGTCTACATATGAAGCAAGGGGCCCAGACTCCTAGGGGGTTGAGAATCAATGCCTTTGGAACATCAAAGTACTTTTGAAAGGAACTTTCACTTAGTTCTCTGCCCTGGGTCATATTAGCTCCTTGGTTTGGAGAAACTGCCAGGACATTTTGATTCTTCTATCATTCTTCCTTCTGATTGACACTGCAACTCTCTTTTTTAAAAAAGTTCCCTCTCCTCCTGAATATCTACCACTGAGCAATGCCCTTCGAGTGGAAATTCCTGAAAGATACTAATATTTTGTATCTGGAGGTCCCTGGGGTGTGGTGTGTTTGGCTAAGAAAGCATGAATAAACTCAAAGGACATATTCTTCTCTCCATAGAATTTTTTCCCCAACGGGAAAGCCATCTGTTTCTCTACCACCCCCCTCAGCCCCACAGTATATGAAAGCTCGCGGCCCCTTCCTTTCAGCTGCGAACACATACGAAATGAAACAAGGGCTGGCCGGGAACAAATTTAAGTAGATTTGTTCCTCTTGTCAATGGGTCCGTGCCACTTGCTGTGAGAAACGCTGTCTTTGCTCCACTGGCATCAGGCTAACCTGGTCTGCTTTCAGTTCTTCTTCTTCTTCTTTTTTATTTTTTTTCAGATCAGGGCCTTTGCATACCCCGTCCCCGCTGTCTGCTAATCTCCCTCCTCCACCCCTATTTCACATCGCTGGTTCCTTTTCGTTCTTCTGGACTCTGTTTAAGCATCACTTTCTCAAAGAGGCTTCTCTGACTATCATGCCTGCTGTAGGTCTTCTGATCACTGGCCTCTCCTCCATTCCTTCTCTCAGCACCACTATTTTGTGATTTATTTACTCAGTCATCATCTATACCTCTGATAGATTGTAAGCAATAAGAAGGCAGGAGCTAGTTTGCTTTGTCTGTCATTTTGTCCCCAGTGCCTAGCACATTAGGGGTCTTTAATCTGTGGACTGACTGAATAATTTGATGATGCTCAAGACGGGGAATGGTGTGATTAAAATACATTTTGGTTCATACCCCTTCTGTACCAGTTGGGATTAGGTTAAGGAGCAGGTGACAGAATCAGATGACTTGTGCCTCTTTCCTGTTTCCCTCCAGGTGAGGCATGAGTAAGGAAAAAGGCAAGAGGCCAGGAGGGTTGCTCTGGGAAAGCTGAGGAGTGGGAACAATGTAAAACCCCTTAAACTGCATCATAAAGCCCACGCTCCTTGATGAAGCATCCAAGCACCTTTGCGATCTGCCTGGGACCTATGTTTCCAGCTTTATCTCCTCCTTCTTCACGTTCCCTCTGCTCCAACATTTCCTCACCCCAGTACCTTCGCTGGAGCTATTTCCCTACCTGAAGGGACCTATGTTTCCAGCTTTATCTCCTCCTTCTTCACATTCCCTCTGCTCCAACATTTCCTCACCCCCAGTGCCTTCGCTGGAGCTATTTCCCTACCTGAAGAGCCCTTCCTTTTTATCTCTGCATGTTGGACTCCAACCCC